TTATTGGCAATGTACTCGTTCGATAAGGAAATAATAGACAACCGGTCAGATATAAAAGGCATTTTTTAAGTTGAAAAGGGTTGAATCAACATAACTCAAAGATTTCTCCAATCTTTGTGAATAAATCTCTTTAATTAATCCACCTACACTAGGAGAAGGATAGCTGGTTAACCAAAGTCTAAAGGTGGGGGCTGTGTTGTCGACAGTGAAGGCTTCACAAATCTTCCCCATCTCTGGCATCCAACTGACTGCAAGGTGACAATTTTGCAGCAGCACCCACGATCCCTCCGCTTGAGCACGTTCGATCAGTTTTGCCGCGATGGGTCCTTGACCCTGGCCCAAACTTATTGATTGGAACCTTGCACCTCCGAAACCCTTGTCATGAGCAAATTTGAGCAGGGCCATGGTCGGATCTGCTCCTGGGGAGAGAATGAATATGAGTGGAGCAATACTATTCGAATCTTCATAACTTTTTAAGAGATCAAATGCTGGTGGTTCCACAAATTTTTGGCCGAGTTTATCACGAACATAATCGACCACAGATGGCACTACCTAAAATTCGTAACATGCATTGTAGTGTCGCAAATCAGTACTCAAGGATTATGATAATGTTAAACGAACCTTATCCGAACGAATACACTTTAGAACCATTAAAGTACGGAAGTTATCAAGCTGAGTATTCCAAGGAGCCGGAAGAGGTGTAGTTTGCGGTGACTTAGAATCATAAAACCTCTTCCATTCGGTGATATTGTCTCTGATATGCTCTTTGAGTCCATTGAAAGGGTTGAGTTCAGAGAGGCGACAGAGTTCATCCCAGCTTGGAACTGATAGCCATTCTGGAGCAGGGTTAGGTACATGATTCTCCAAGCTTACCCCTCCAGTTAGGAAGAAGATGAATTCACTGAGCCTGATCTCGTTTCTAGCTCTGTGAAGTTAATACAGAGTATACCATGGATTTGAGATCTTTTGGGTAGTGAAAATCAGTGAGTAATCAACAGAAAATGACGCAAGAGTGTGATAATCTGCAAAGGGCAGAAATAGTAGTGCAAAATTGCATTGAACCAAAGTCCTTTCCTAGGGTAAGAAAGGGAAATTTACAAACTAAAACGTAAAAATTTAACAAGAGTAATAACACATTGATTCGCCTTGCTACTAACTGAAAACATGCCGCCTAAAACATTGACTTTACCCGAAATCATTAAAACATTTCTTCTCTATGTATTGCCACATCAAACTATCTTTATATATCCTTGATGACTGTATATTTGCATTAGCTGTCTATTAAAGCAGGGAAAGCATAAAACAAGTTTTATTAATTTTATTTAATTTAATTTATTAATTTGAACCCCATGGTGATTCAACTACCTTGAAGCAAAAGGCTCGAATTACTTATATATTACTCTATGGTACAGTAAGAATCCTAAATGGTAATTTAAAATGACTATTGGTATATAAAATTGATAAATATGAAGTTTTATGCAAATCATAACACCTATGAATCTTTCCTTTGGATTTACATAAATAAAAAGTGTTAAGAAACTAAAATGAATACTTTTGAGGCATTTGAATTGAACTTAAATGTACGGAAAAATTGATTGGGCAAGCAAAGACCACTGGTGAAGTACCCCCTTTTGCCAATATTGGTCAATCAGTCGGTCAATCGCCTATCCATATCAAATCCAATAAAAGCATATTTACTTTCCCGCTGGCAAGCCATCCTTTAGAGCTGCTAATCCCATGCTCATTCTTTCAGCCATCTGAATATTTGTAGCTTTAGCAAGAGGAAGCAGAACAGACGAAAAGGAATCGAACACTCACGTATCGAATATGCTCGTTTTTGTGTTAGAGTGGACTCTAGTGATCTCTTCTCATCGTGTTATCTTATTGATAAAAAAGAAAGCAATGATATTGAAATATTGAATAATTTTCACAATTTGTAAAGCTGAAAATTTCAGTTCATTTCAAGTAAATGAATTTGCAACCATAACAGTGGGCGCTTTGTAACCATCCAGCTATTTAATTTTTCGCAATATGAAGTGAATGATCTGTGAAATTTTACCATAAAAAACACAATTGAATGGAAATTTTCGGTTAAAAATCTGGCAGTCAATGTACTTATCCTCCAGCAGTCAGGATAACTAATACCTCGAGAGTAGTTACTCAAGTATTCTAACGCAGTAAATGACCTGGAGGCCAAAGGCATATTCATTGAGGAATTACTTTCTAATAGATGATTTTTATCGATTTCTTTAAATCCCACTAAACTACTACCAAATACGGTGTGGCTTCTGATGTGGTCGATGTAATCCAATAAACCAAAATGAAAAAAATTGTCTTGGGACACATAATGAAAGGGCTTGAGGACTTTTGACTAAAAGTTTTTTCCTAGTAATTGATTCAACTTGATCTGGAGTAAATGACTAAATCACACTCTGAAAAAATAGCTTTATCAATTTTTGCGGGGAAAGAAGATGTTTCAGGATGTCAATATGTAGGAAAAGTGATGGTATTATTTTACACTCATGGGGTGCGCGATAGACTTACCTCCACGTGGTGCACCCTGGGCAACGTATATTTAGACTTACCTCCACGTGGTGCACCCTGGGCACCGTATACTCATACGGCAAAAAAGTCTATTAACCGGCAGTTGTTATACTCATACGGCAAAAAAGTCTATTAACTGGCAGTTGCATTCTGACTTCAAACTACCAAAAGTCTATTAACTGGCAGTTGACTTCTCACTTCAAACTGCCATCACCCAACTTCAAACTGCCCACGTGGTGCACCCTGGGCAACGTATATTCATACGGCAAAAACTGGTGCACCCTGGGCAACGTATACACGGCAAAAGAGTCCGTGGTGCACCCTGGGCAACGTACACTCACACCTTACCTCCACGTGGTGCACCCTGGGCAACGTATTCTCATTCGGCTACCTCCACGTGGTGCACCCTGGGCAATGTATACTCATACCGCAAAAGGTACCTCCACGTGGTGCACCCTGGCCAACGTATAATCATACGGTCTTACCTCCACGTGGCGCACCCTGGGCAATGTATACTACACCTTACCTCCACGTGGTGCACCCTGGGCAACGTATTCTCATTCGGCTTACCTCCGTGGTGCACCCTGGGCAATGTATATTTAGACTTACCTCCACGTGGTGCACCCTGGGCAACGTATCCACATATGGCAAAAGGTACATACGGCCTCCACGTGGTGCACCCTGGCCAACGTATAATCATACGGTCTTACCTCCACGTGGCGCACCCTGGGCAATGTATACTACACCTTACCTCCACGTGGTGCACCCTGGGCAACGTATTCTCATTCGGCTACCTCCACGTGGTGCACCCTGGGCAATGTATACTCATACACCTCCACCGGGTGCACCCTGGGCAACGTATACTCATACAGCAAAAATCCTCCACGTGGTGCACCCTGGCCAACGTATAATCATACGGTCTTACCTCCACGTGGCGCACCCTGGGCAATGTATACTACACCTTACCTCCACGTGGTGCACCCTGGGCAACGTATTCTCATTCGGCTTACCTCCGTGGTGCACCCTGGGCAATGTATATTTAGACTTACCTCCACGTGGTGCACCCTGGGCACCGTATACTCATACGGCAAAAAAGTCTATTAACCGGCAGTTGTTGCGATAGACTTACCTCCACGCGGTGCACCCTGGGCAACCCACTCATACGGCAAAAAAGTCTATTAACCGGCAGTTGACTTATCACTTCTCATACGGCAAAAAAGTCTATTAATCGGCAGTTGACATCTTGACTTCTGACTTCAAACTACCATGACCCCACTGTATGTTACAAAGTATACTCATACGGCAAAAAGTCTATAAACCGGCAGTGGACTTCTGACTTCAAACTACCCTCACCCCACTATATGTCACAACTTCTCACTTCAAACTACCATCACCCCACTGTATGTCATTGTGTATGCGCATACGGCAAAAAAGTCTATAAACCGGCAGTTGATCTAACCCTAACACGGCAAAAAGTCTATAAACCGGCAGTTGACCTCTGACTTCAAACTACCATGACCCCACTGTATGTCATATTTGGGCAACAGACCTCATACGGCAAAAAGTCTATAAACCGCTGGGCAACGTATACTCATACGGCAAAAAAGTCTATTAACTAGTGAGATGGGTGTGCGATAGACTTACCTCCACGTGGTGCACTATGGGCAACGTATACTCATACGGCAAAAAAGTCTATTAACCTGCAGTTGACTTCTGACTTCAAACTACCACGACCCCCAAACAGTTGACTTCTGACTTCAAACTATCATCACCCCACTGCACTGGTCCATATTCGACTACTTCCACAGTACTCACCTCATCTTTTTCACTCTACCTTTGTGTCTCCATATTCGACTACTTCCACAGTACTCACCTCACCTTTTTATATTCGACTACTTCCACAGTACTCACCTCACCTTTTTCCACCGACTACTTTCACAGTACTCACCTCACCTTTTTCCAACTTTGTGTCTGTCTCTTTTACATCTTCGAAACACTCTTCTGTCCCCCCTCCATCTCGACCTTTTTCACTTTGATGTTCCTTCCCATCTGTGAAGCCTGAAGTCAACTAAAGGGCTAATGATAACTTTCACAACGCCTGCCATTTAATATAAATAAATAAACTACTAAATACTATCTGCGATAGAAATGGTTTATGATTCAGAGTTTTCACTAATAATGGAGATGGAGTGTGAGATTAATGCGCATCAATTCATACCAAATGAGGTAAATAACCGACCACACTGGTCAATTATGGTCAATAAGCGGGTGACATTACATATGACTGGCTCTGTCGCAAAATTCTCTCCTCCCCCCAAATGAAATGAGTGTTAGCACTTCCATTAATTCACTTGGGAATTCAAGAGCACTTAAACAATAAAACAAACTCATCGGGAAAAAATGCAAGAAACCAACAAAGGAAGCACAAACGAGAAAGATGAAGAAAACTTCGAAAAAAGTTCTTACATCATGAGTTTGGAGGTGAGGAGTAGTGAAAAGAGGAGCTTATGTTTTTCGAAAACTCCCCGACAGACGTTCACGTAGAGACTGTATGTGAAGTAGTCGATCAGGTAACGAACCCTCTTCTCAATTATCTTCGACTTGTTACTATGTCACAAATATAAGTTCCATCAGAACAGGCTAGGTAGACGTTAATTTTGTTTTGGTAAACATGCGCTCATTATTACATTAATGCGCCAACGAATCATGTTAAATGAATGCACACACAGCAATGATGACTGAATGGCTTTAGAAAATTAGTTAGTTTAATTAAATTCAACAACGCAAACGTTTGCTAGAGCAGTTTGGTTTTTCCATTTACTTTTGTTCTGGATATGCACCTGGGTTCAATATACTTTTTTGAAATAAAAATAAACAAAAAAATCACCTATATCCGGACAAAGCAATCTTTTAACAAGCAATAACAAGTACGTCTGTGGTATTGTTAGATCTTTACTAATTACTGCGATTATTACTGCAATAATGGGCTTGATATCTTAGCATTTCAGGTATTCTCCTATAATATGAATTTGTTCTTAGAAAAGTTGTTTCTGGTATAGTGGTGAGATAGATGCAGCTAATTTGTAGAACGAAATAAATACATATATCCTAATTACTTTGCAGTTGACGTACAATAGTTGATGAGAGCACAGTAGGCTCAAGGACAACGCTCAGGATAGATTGAAGACATCTTCGTTTTCCGAGAGTACCTACCTTTTTCACACACTCCTTTTTCGCTCCACAATTCCATCTAGTTATTAAACAGACTAGTAGGAATTTTATTACTCGTCTATTCTCAAATCAATAATTTGTCTTGTCCTCCTTTATTAATCTCTATATTTGAATTGGAACCCAGAGGTACCATGGAGGTAATAGACATACTGACATATTCGAGGTAAGAGTCATTTCTCGCAAAATATCATTCCAATGAACAACATTCCACAGAGGATGTTAAGCTTTGGATGAATTTTGATCAGTTAAAGCCCAAAGTTGAAGTTTAGATTTCAAAGCCCACGCCAATGGAAAATAAGGGAGTTTGTGCAAAGGGTACACAGGGCTACGCCCTAACATTGTATCTTAAGCAACTTCAGCAGTTTCCAAGGTAGTCACTCAATTGGAAATATGTAAGACTACAAAGGGGCTGTTTGGTAAACTCATGCCAATGGCGATTGATAAAATAGTGTGGATGCATACTGGGGGAGGAAGGGGGGAGAGGGGGGGTGGAGATACATGCATGGAATAGAAAAATTAGTAATTGCAAGTTAAACATCTCCTTTAATTTATTGTCAAAGAAAACGTGAAAGAAGCAGTAGCCCCCAAAGCAACTCGTAAAACTCCGAACCATTTAAATAATCCTACCCCCCCCTCCCCAATTCAGTCGGAGTAAAAATAGGTCTTATCAGGATGCATTGGTGCATCTCCACAATGAGACCAAGAATGCGCGGATGACAGAGGAGTCAGAACTCCCCCCTTAATGCCAGGAAAAGGCGAATTTTGCAAGTAAGCCCTCACAAAGTCATGAGATAGGAAGAGTTGGCTCATTGAATTACTCCGGCAAATCCCACTGTCGAGCCTCAATAAACAATGGCGCGCGCCTTTATGGTTGCTATGGCAAGTCCTCTCAATTCCCCTTCCGAGACATTGGGTTCCATGGAGAGGTAAGAAGAAAGTTTAAACTAAGTACGCGAGAAAATTTACAAAACGATCACATTCTACCGTTACCTTTGGCACTTGGCAAATTAGAAAAAAAACACAACATCTTTTTTTGGATCAAAGTACCCCACTGGCACAGAAGTGATGGATTGTTAGGAAGAATTTTTAAAATAAACAGGCAATGTGATTAATGTGGAGGCACGAAAAAAGCGCAAAGCAGATGAGCAAAGTTAGGCATTTGGGTGAGTTGTTGTGGGCACAAGTGGATACCATTCACTTACATTAAGATCCTGGCACATAGTAATAAGGAGAAGACTATCCTATGCCTGTCAAAAAGACCCCGACACACATCTACATACAACTTGTAATCCAAGTAATCTCGCAAATAGCGTAAACGACGTTCCAGTATCTTCGATTTGTTACTGGAGAATTCTCAAGGTATAATTATATAAGCCGTAATGGAGTAGTCTAATTTAGTTGCATGTTTAT